CTGCGCCACCAGGGAGGGCCCTGTTTTCTGACTTTTAATTTCTACTTTTATCTTTATTATTTCTTTCCTTTTTTCTTTGGGCTTAACCTGCTAGATTTTTATTTCTTAAGTTAAATTCTCTGTAGTCCAGGCATGGTCATGGGCAGGCAGGAGGCTGCTGCCCTGCAGTGGGAGAGAGCGGGTGGAAAGAAGCACGTAGGCTCAGCAGAGGAGCGGCTGCCTTGTCTTCTACTTTTAAAGGCCCTTGAGGTTACATTGTGCCCACCCAGATGACTGTGATCATTTCCCCATCTTGAAGTCTGCTGATTACAACCTTAATTCCATCTGCAGCCTTAATTCCCATTTGTCACAGAACATGATTTTTTGTCAGATTCCTGGGATCAGAACTATTATTCTGCTACATCCAAGAGTCAAACATTCTGAGAATTTCATTTCAGACACTTCTCTCTTTTCTTTTTTCTTTTTAATGCTGATTTTTGATGTTTGGGCAAATAAAAGGACCTTACTTTTCTTTCCTTATCATACCTCAAACCAAGCATATTATGCCAGAGTGAAAACCTGTGCCTTTCCATTTCCCCCCTTGCTGGTATTTTCTTTGGCCAGCACCTGGGAAATAGCCCTACTGGGTTGCTGTGACCTGGGCAGGGATGCTGCTACTGTCCCCTGGGGCCCTAGAGTGCTTGCTGCTTACTGCTGATGTGTGATTCAGAGGGTATTTGGGAGCCACAGGGTGTACATGAGATGGGACATTTTCTTGGTAATAATTTTTCCTTCTCCAACTGAGGAAAGTCAAAGGAGCAATTTGTTTAATCATTTTAAGACATCTTTCTGTTATTTTCCTTTTATCATTGAACATGTCAGCTATCCCTAGTAGATATCCATTTTCCAGGATCCAATGAATGACCTGAAAAGCATACAGAGGGTAGGACATTCTATGCTACTATTCTCTGTTTCTCATAGCAGCAAGGAATGATTGAACATGAATAAATAGTAATCTACCCTCCTTTTGTTCCAAGTCAGCTTGCACACAAATAATGGAACCATTTTATAAACTTTTAGAGACTTTTCACCAAATGCAAAGAACTTTTCCCCCAAGTGCCCTCAGAATTGTACCTTTGACATATATTCTGTGGTTTATTTTTTTAACTAAGATTTAACTAGATTTATTTACATTTAGTACATTAGCTAGCTTATTCTAAGAATCTTATATAATCCTAGCGAATTATGAAAAAGGCATTGAAATAACAGGCATTGAAATCCTCAACTTTCTGATTTAGGAATATTTCTGTGGAAAGCAGAGTTAACTTCTCCAAGATCCTGTGGGTATGAGCCTGGGCTATTTCTTAAATATTTCTGCTCCCCATCCAGGGTGCCTCCCTCTCAACACAAACTGATTCTGTTTTAGAGTTTACTAACAACTCAGAGCACCCTAATGATTCTAAAATTCTTTGCCTCACCTTTGAGAATGTTTCACAAAGTATCTACAATCACATCCCATCAGTATGGACAAATCCAAATTTAAATTCTAAGTTTCTCTACTTGACATCCAATTCTAACCTAGTTTTGTAAAGGAAGGATATTGAACTCAATTGGCTGAATAAATAATTAAAACACTTTAAAAAAATTCCCTTCTGACAACTACATTTTTTCCTGTTGGTTCTTAGTTTAATTTAATAATGGAAACTTAAACAACATTGATCTATTTTTATTGAGCTAAGAGTGGTTTCCAAAACTGTGTGATTTAGGGTTATAGAATCCCACCTCTTCAGTTGTAGGTTACCACACCACACCCACCACCAAAGCACCTATCATGCTCTGCCATAGTTCATAAAAAATTTTTTCAAGAAAGTTTGTTTTGTGGGACATGGATATATAATGGACTTCCTTCCATTCACATACACACACACACACACACACACACGCACAGAGAGACACATACACACACAGTTCCCCTCTATTCAATCCCATTAAATAATGGTATGGGCCCTCCCTGGTGGCGCAGCGGGTTGGAGCACTGCACTGAGAGGCTAAAGCCATTTCCTCATGAGTTCGATTCCCGCCTGCCCCGGAGGTGACCACATGGCGTGGCAGACCTCTCCTGACCCGCCCGCTGCTCCCCTCAGCAGTGTACTTCGTCGATCTGCCTGTTCTGCTCCCCGCTCTGTCTCTGGTGAATTCTCTCACCCTCCATTAAATAATGGTATGTTTAGTGACCTTTTAAATCCTGACTTGTAGAAACAAGTTCCAAAGTGAAATAGCAAAGGTTGAATGAAACATCTTTTCTGTATCAAATTTATGTAGTTCAATAGTATTTTATTGCAAGTTTATTATTAACTCCTGCCAGACATTTACTCCTATTTAAGTTCTCTTATCATAGTATAAATTACAGAGAAAAGGCTGAGTAAATAATAATAATGACACAAAAGAATTACCCTGTGCATTTCCCGCCCTCGGACACACATGTCAAAGGGTAGTTGTAGAATAATAAAGGAATTAAACAAGTAAAAAATGAAGATTAAATCATGATTATGGCACTAGTAATATGCCTGGTATGTTGCAGATGGTAATGAAAGTTTCCAGCTTTGACTTATTTGGTATTTGGTCAGGTTGGAAAGGAAGGGAAGGAACAACTTTACTTCTGGTGATTGTAATCACGGGCACCTCTGTCCCATACCTTCTGCTCTGTATATCAGGACCAGACTTTGTGCTGAGTCATCTACCCAGATGTCCCCTAATTTTCTGTACACAAAAATTTCTGTCAATGCCAAGAATGAAAACCTAAGCACCCAAAAGAGGTCTCTTTCTCTCACTTCACTCTATCAGCCAGATTCTACATTTGGTTAATGCCACATCTGAAATTCTTACATCAGAGCTCTTACCTACAAAAAGTGCACACATCCAAAAAGTAGCATGCACTAGCCTATTTCCCATCATTCCCCACATAGATAAGACTGTCCGACCTTTTACCTGCTTATTTGTTTGGGGCTGTCCCTTAGTTGTATCTCTAAACTCTTATTCACCGGATTCTTCAACATACCAAAATAATGCCCACATTACTGCATTACTGGTGGAAAAACTGACTGTGGAAATATCCATTTTCTAGGGCTTCCATAACAAAACACCACAAACTAGATGGCTTTTCTTCTTTCAAGATCTGGGGGCTAAAAGACCAAAATCAGGGCAAGCTGATGCTCCCTCTGTGGGCTCTAGAAAGAATTTTTTCTTGCTTTTCTTTTGCGGTGGTTGGCAATATTGTCATTCGTTGATTTACAGTTATGTCACTCCAATTTCACTTGCCTTCACATGTTTCTGTTTTCTTATAAGAACATCAGTTTCTGGGCTAGGCTCACCCTAATCCAGTTTGATCTCATTAGTTCTATTTGCAAAGCTTGTATTTCCAAACAAGGTCACATGTTAAGGTTCCAGATGGACATGAGTTTTTTGGAAGACGTTACTCAACCCAGGATATTTGGCATCACTGAATTAGCTCACACACACACACACACACACACAATTGCACATTACTCACTAAATGCCAATAAATGAATAAATACTTTCCAAGAAACAAGTATCTTGTGGTGTCTGGCTTAAAGACTACAGGCTGATTAAAAAGAATGGACATATATGAGCAGGACACCCTTGGTCCTGCACAGAGGAAGCCCACTGCTGGCTTCCCTCTGGAGGGGAGGTAGCCTCCATGCAAGCTTGCCTCTTGGCTGAGGGTAAGGTGTATACACCGCCCTTCAGCAGCATTGTACAGCATTGATCCCCTGAACCCCTGATCTGGGCCTTGAGCATCTAGCCAAGCAATCCCATCACCAGCAAAGGCCTGAGAAAGCTTAGGTAAGATGGCCTATAAAGACATGCCGCTCATGTGCTTTTGTGAGTCTGAAGACCCTGTGATTTCTTTTCACGACCCCTGATAAAGACAGGATAACTGAAAAAAACTGACCAGAAACCGTTGGGATGAATCTGAGCCATGGCCAAGGCAGGCCATGGCCAATTCCAAGATTCACAGCAGTTCTAATAGTGTTGTGCTAGGAGAAACCAGGGGGTGTCACCTGTGTGCCAGGTACATCTACATGGTCAGTATCCTCTCCCTTCTGCCGCAGTCCTCCTCCTCCGTCGGTGGCTTTCATCTTCCACATCCTTTGTGGTGACTTGCCTTCTTCATCGTTCCCTGATTCTGTCAGTTACTGTACCACCTGCCCTTTCCTAAGCATCTCACGCTGACAGCTTCTTCTGCTCACTGCCTACCCTGCAAGTCTCCAGGTCAGATCGGGGTTGGGGCACACTCTTTGTACATCATTATTACATGGGGCCACCAGGGCCAGGGGCTGACCCCTCTCCACTAGTCTTTGGAGAGTGTCCAAAGAATATGGGGTCACCTTATTTGGACTCCAGTCTGACATATAAGAAAGGTAGGCTCGTTGGTTGATGAGGAGGCATCAAAGTGTGTGCCCTTAGTGCCAAATAAACTACAAAAACAAAAAAACAAAAAACAAAACTGTCATTTGGGCTTGTTTTTGCACTGTTCACATATTCTGAAAAAGCAGTGTAGAATTTAATCACCTTTTCCATTACAATGTTGTGAAGATTAGGCTGTGCTAAGCTTTTCTCCCTTCAGAACAGGTCTCAGTTCTCAGGTTCTGATAGGTCTGAAGCAGGTGTAGAATGCACATGGCCAGATGGATCACTGTAGCTTCACCATGTTGCAAAAAATTTGTCCTCTCCTGGACATAATAAAAACTTAATTTCTTGTCCTTTTTAAGAAGATTACGTGTCTCAAACAAAAAGAAGAGGAAATGGAATTCTGCTACCTAAACTACAAAACAAAAATATCCATGTACCAGTTTATTGAACCCCTGTATTTCTGGCATGCTTTGTGTTTATTACCTTATATACCAAACTATTTGTTTACATGGCTGAATAGGGCCTTGTTCAGTGAAGCTCCCAAAATTATGGCTTTGATTTAGTGACAGATTAACTCGAGTGGCACTTTTAAGATTGTAAATTTCCAATAAATCTGCTTCCTAATTTGAGAATAGGCCCCTAAGTGTTCTTTTCCTGCCAACAAATTCAACGACGTCTGTTTGTGTGCATCTGTGTTTCCAAAAGGATGATATCAGCGGGCTGGGCAAGCTGTTCCTGTGTGACTCTTTCAACATCTGGACAGTTAACAAGGACCGGTATAAGATGAAGGATTTTATTCGATTTAAGCCCAGTCAGAGGCAAATTTACCTATTTGAGAGAGAAATAGTCTTCTGTAAGATACGAATGGAGACCGGTGACCAGGGCCTGACCCCTCATCACAGTTTTAAGAAGTCTATGAAGGTAAAGGGGTCCTGTCACCCCTGGGGATCAGAACAGCACAGCGCTATGGCCAGAGATCTTACTATCTTCTCAGATAAAGAAAGTGAAGCTTAGATAGGTGATGTTAACTTGCCAAATGCCACACAACCAAACTAGAATCTACACCCAGGCTTGTCTGATGCCAGAATCAGGGATTACAATACCTCAGGAGAAAGTCAAAGCTGGTAATTTCGTGGTAGGTAGAGAATAGGACCCTGTGGCAGATGCTATACAAACTAACTAGTCAAAGTTCCCTCTTTTCTCTAGGCAGAGGGTGAAAGAGCTGGTGATTAGAGAGTGGGCTGGATTTCATTTTCTACTTGCCCTTCTCAGCCAGGCATCTCTGTATATGTATTTGCCCTTCTCAGCTCAGTTATTGTTATGCAGATATTTATGAAGTACTTAGGTATTAAAAGATAGATGATCTCTTTGCTTAAAACCTGAGGCTACAGCTCTAAATTTGGAAAGATTAGTCTGTGTTGTCCTTGGAAAGAACCAAGACAGATGAAGTTGCCCCAGATTGTGTCTTATCTTCGTTGGGGCCATTACCAGAGGACAGCAAACCAGAAGCAGAATAGGTGGAAGACGGTTATCAAGGCTAAAGGAGTAGAGTGTTTGGTGGGTAATTCTCAAAACAAAACAGGAGTATCGAAATTTTCTTCTTTTTTTTCACAATAGCTGATGACACTTTCAATTCGCCAACTTGGAAGGGGGAGCAGCAAAAAGTTTGAAATTGCCAACCATAATGGACTTGAGAAATACATCCTTCAGGTAAAGTTTAAGCCTTCTCCACAGGTATCCTTTGCTGTTTCACTGCTGCATTTCTGTGACTAAACCAGTGTTTTCTATCTCATTATTTGAAAGGTCACCCAGCGAATTAAAGTCTTTTGCAATCAATCAAGACTCTAAGAGATCTGAAAATCATAGTTTTTGTTTGTTTGTTTGTTTTTTGTAATTTCAGGCAGCTTCAAAAGAAATCAGAGATTGTTGGTTTTCAACAATAAGTAAATTATTGCTGGAACAACAAAACAATATTAAAGGTAGGATTTCCCCTGCCACCTTTATTCTGAAGAGTTATCCTGATTCCAACTTGTGGTGGCTATTCAGATTGAGGATGTTGTTAAAGAAAATGGCTTGCCGGGGAAATACTATGGACATGATTTTGTAGTACGTGGGTGGGGTTTTGTGGCTAAGCATCTGCCCTTTTTAGTTATGTCCTCCACACCTCCTACGTACATAATTGTCAAGGTCATTTTCCTCAATTTTCAATCCTAAAGTCACCCAAGAAAATGTTAAAGGTGATTTAAATGGTTGAGATATAATTAATATCCATACAATGTATCATCTGAAAGTGTACAATTCAGTCAGCTTGCATTTACTTACAGGTTGCATCATCAGCTCTACTACATCACTACTAATTTCAGAACATTTTCATCACCTTCCCCCAACAGAAAAACCCCATACCTAGGAGCAATCAACCCCCCTCACCCACCCCCAGTCCTTAGAAATCACTAATCTACTTTTTGTTGCTATGAAAATTTTTATTCTGGACATTGCATATAAATGGAATCCTATAAAATGTGGCACCTTCGGTCTAATTTCTGTCACTCAACTTAATTCGCTCAGTGTTCACACGTGTAGCCGCATGTATTCATGTTGAGTGGCAGCACTTTGTATGGAAACATCACATTTGCCACACTGTTCACCAGTTGATGGATATTTGAGTCTCTTCCATGTTGGGATACTGTCAATAACAATACCCTAGAAACTCATAGACACGTTCTTCTGTGAACCCTTAGTTTTAGTTCTGGAGTGAAACGCACTCAATGGTCATGATGCTGATGGCCACTTACTGCATGCCCCCACCTACCACATGTATGGCAAGCTCTGGACTCTTGTCTCATTTCATCCACACCCCACCCTGTCAGAGAAACATTATGTTTGTGACTCTAGAAATGAATAAACTAAGACTAAGAAAAAGTTAGGTCTCTGTCAAGGCTTATCCAGCCAAGTTACTGCAAACCATTGAAACCAACTCTGGCAAATAAGCTAAAAAGAGAAGCTGTTGACAGGAAGTTAGTTGCTTCCAGCAAAAATAACAACCAGACAAAATTTGCATCCTGACAGATAGTAGGGGTCCCCATGGGGGAGGGGGAGGAGCACGGAGGGGGGACAGGACTAGTATGATGGTTCAGGGGTACTAGGGTGGTGGGAGAACTATAGGACTACACCTCTGGGGAGAAATCAAATATTGTCCAAAAATGAACAAGGTAAGATAATAAATGTAATTTTAAAAAGAAGAAAACAAGTCAAGAACCAGACAACTCCAAACTGCTCAAAAATCTAGTATGAATTTCCTGATGGGATAAATGGGCTCCATCTTTTTGTCTGTCTTTACTCAAAACTCAAATCCTAGGAGACTCATACGTTGGCAGGAATGCCAGAGCAAAGGGCAGGATAGCTAGATTTATATTTCCATCAAGAGAGAAAGCAACACTTGTCACAGGTGACAATTTCACTGTAGATCTCACCTCCTGTTAGTAAGGTGAGATCTACATGAAGTTAGAACATTAGACGTCAGACCTCTCCTGAGCCTGCACACAGCCCTGGGCATGTGCACATGACCTACTAGACTCTCAAGCATATTTGGAACTTTTCAAGGTCAGTATGGACATTTCATGCCCAACATTTTCCTTTTGATCTTTCTGATTAACCTATTTTTGCCCCAGCCCTTCTCCAATGCCCAGAACCAAGAATCAAAACAATCACCTCTAGTCATTTTCTACAAATGCTCCCAGGGAAAAGTGTTTTAAAATTGGGCCAGCTCAAAATTAGGTCTACTACAGATAATTTTGCAAGTAGGGTATTCCAAAGAACCCCAAACAGGTCAAATTCAGACAGTTCATAGGGAATGAATCTTTGAAGGAGCTCTGTTTAACACTCCCTGCCCCTTCACACAGATGCCAGAATGCAAATTTTCACTGTGATCAGAGGCTGTTGGGGACTCTGAGGCTCCTGCAGTGAAGTGGGGAGAGATGGAACAGGGCAACTAAATACTGTAAAGCTCACTGTTGATAACTGAAATTCAGCTGTTGGGGAAATCCCCACCAAATTTCATCAATTGACTGAGTTCTAATATTCCTGTCAGGTAATATTGCCAAGGTTAAGAAATACTAGTCTTGTGTGGAAAAATCTATTTTTACTGGCAATAATTTGCATTTTTGGTAAGGAAAATGACATAAATATGAGAATTAACTTTGTCTTCAGACACTTCAAGGGGATGCAACAACTTCACACTCTTCCTGTCTCTTCCCTGATCATCAGCTGGTCAGGGTAAAGAAGGTTGGTGTACATACTATGATGTGAAATAAGACAGAAAAGGGCAGTTGGAAAACCACTACATACGTTTTATGTTACAACAACCATGTAAACTGAGGCTTCTGCCAGGAAATAAATATAGTTTATTTTAAAGATTTATTTATTTATGCATACAGAACTGGGGTATGGGCCAGAGGTGCAGGGGCGGTGAGAGGATTCACCAGAGACAGAGTGGGGAGCAGAACAGGCAGATCCACTGAAATACGCTGCTGAGGGGAGCAAGGGCAGGTCAGGAGAGGTCTGCTGTGCCATGTGGGTCAGCTCCCTGGCAGGGGGTGGAACTAGTGCTGCAGTGACTGTGGGTAGCTTCATAGTGCTGTGACTTAACCCTTTGTAACAACCACCAAGGAGGTCCCTGCTTTGAAACTATTGATAGTCTGCTAAATAAATCTTATGACAATTGAATATGAATGTTCTGAATGCATAAAGCAGAATGTTGTAACAACACTAGTTTAAAAAAAAATGTTACTTGGTTTCTCTGGAAACAACATGGTTAATCAAAATGTCTGGAGGTGTAGGGGCGGTGACAGGATTCACCAGAGAGAGTGGGGAGCGGAGCAGACAGATCTTCTCAAAGATAATTTGAAACAATTTGCCACTTTAACTTTTGTTCAGTTAATGACTCAGCCAGGCAGAGACAATTCCACCTTAGCTTTCACTTCCTGCTTATTAGAAAGAATGATTTGAAAGACTTGTTACAAATGCATATCTCTGGGTCATGATCCCAACTGTGAAATTAGGATAGCTACAGTTAATACCTAGAAATGTACATTTTAACTCATTAAAGTTTCTGTATAGAACTTTTTCTATTTTATTCTAGAATAGTTTTATTGAATACAATGAAATACTACTCAGCAATTGAAAAGATAAACCCATACCATTTGCAGCAACATGGATGGAGGTAGAGGGATAACGCTGAGCAAAATATTGTAAGTCAGAAGGAGAAAGCAGAGGAGGGAAGAGCACAGGGACTATGGTGATGGACCCTGAGAGCTATGGGGACTACAACTAAGGGGAGAAATCTAGCACTGTACAAAAATGACCAATGATCTAAGAAAATAAATAAATAAATATGAATAGCTTTCGTGACATATAATTGATATAATATACTTCAAATATTTAAAATATACATTTGGTAAGAGTTGATATCCATACACACCTCCGAAAGCACCACAATCAAGATAGTTAAGACATTCATCTCCCTCAAAAGCTTCCCTTTGTGTTCTCTTTTATTCTGTACTTCCTCACCTTCCACTATACCTTAGGTGATCATTGTCACTTTTGACTAGTTTGATTTTCTAGAACTCTATAAAAAGAATCAGATTTTTTTTTTGCATATGGGTTCTCTCTTTTGAGATTCTTTCATGTTCTTTGTATAACAATAGTATATCCCTTTTAATAGCGGTGCATTCCATTGTTTGGATAGCCCCCCTCCCCCATTCTTCTATTCATTTACCTGTTAATGAACATTTTGTTTGTTTCCACTTTGGGGGGAGTTATTTTAGATAAAACTACTATAAACATTCAAGAAAAAATCTTGGGCCTCCCTGGTGGTACAAGGGGTTAAAGTCTTAGCACTATGAAGCTATCACCAGCCACTGCTGCATGAGTTCAATCCCCAGCCAGGGAGCTGACCCACATAGCACAGCAGACCTCTCCTGACCCACCTGCTGCTCCCCTGAGCAGTGTACTTCGTCGATCTGCCTGTTCTGCTCCCCGCTCTGTCTCTGGTGAATCCTCTCACCTTCCCCTCTACACACCTCTAGCTTACACCCCAGTTCTTGTATGCATAATTAAATAAAAATAAATCTTTTTAAAAAGAACAAATCTTGTAGACCTGTTTTTCATTACTCTTGAGTAAATAAATACCTACGAATGTTGTGGATAGACTACACAGCAAGTGCAGATTTAACTTCTTTAAAAAATTGCTGCATTATTTCCAGCAACATCATCTTACATTCCCATAGCAGTCTATGAGCGTTACTTGCTTCACATCCTCACCAACAGATTTTTTAGTTGTATATCTTCTAAGGTATGCACTGGTCTGTCTTGTGGCTTTGATTTGATTTTCCCTAGTGACTGATGGTTGAACATCTTTTCATATGCTTCTTTACCATCTATGTAAATTCACTGGTGAAGTGTTGACTCAAATATTTTCTCATTGCTTTCTTACTTGTGATTTTTGAGAGCTTGAAAATACTGTGGCTACTGATTAGTGAATAAGCCAGAAAGAAAGAAACCAGATGGTTTCACTCATAGCAGGAGTATAAAGGACCAGGGGATAAAATAATAATGAACAAGTATATACCAGAGACATTTAGGGTGGTGGAGTGGGGAATGGGATCAAAATGGAGGGCTGGGCAGTGACTGGACTATGGTGATGGCACATTTGGTGATGGGAAGCCCATGGGGATTACAACTTAGAAGGAAAAAGGCACAAAATGATGTAAAAATAAACTATTATATTATTTTTAAAAAATACTGTGGTTACAGTCCTTTATTAGATGTGTGCTTTATAAATATTTTCTTTGAGTGTGGGATTTTTTTAATTTTTAAAAAAGATTTATTTATTTATACATATTGAACTGGGGTACAGGCCAGAGGTGCGGGGTGGTGAGCGGATTCACCAGAGACCGAATGGGGAGCAGAACAAGCAGATTGA